CTGAAATCTGTCAAATCGCTCAGAAATGATATAGCATATGAACTGAGACGACAATGGCGCTGCTTATCTTCAGCAGGCTCTGCTATTTTCATCTTTGTAGGGGTTTCACATTAGCACTGCAACTGTCAGGTTCTAACTTATTCTTTGCTGTTTTATTTTATATTGCGAAACCGACATGAGAATTCGGTCCGAACACCTGGCTGATGCCATTTGGACTCCAGAAATTTCGGCACCGAGCTCATTTTCAAATTGCCTAAGCCACCAAATCCACTAAAAACTTGTGTATGTGGGTAATTTAACATCTGATTAACCGAGGCTATGAAACTCATTCGTGACGGTGGCGCCAAGAGAGGAAACTACGATTACCTCATGGGACCTCAGCCTTAGCAGAGCGCAGGTAACCGTAGTGTCATCCATTAGCGCCAGCGCCAAAAATGAATGTCATATTCGTGATCAGGATGTTGAATTACCCCTATATACAAGTTTTTAGCGGATTTGGTGATCTTGCCACTTTTAAAATGAGCTCGCAGCCGAAATTTCTGGAGTCGCAAACGAAAACGGCCATTGTAGCCGTTCGGCCTTCGTTAACCATTATTGCGCGAAACCCATACTTTTTCATTTTAGAAGGTCAAGGAAATAAAAGGAAGTGTCCGTATCAAGGCAATACACGCGGCGCGTGTCCTCTTTGCCATTGCCGGGACTTAACTACCACCTAATCTATGATGTGCACTGACTATGAGCTCAGTACCATCGAGCGCAAACGTACAGTCGTCATCCGGTGACTTGATTAGGGCGGCAAGGGAGGCGACGCGGCTGCGGTGTGTTGCGAGGCGCGTCGGCTTCTATCCAGCGTATTTTAGCAAGTTTCTCTCCTAGTTCATGCTGTTTTGGCTGCTTCCCTCACGATTAGTTGTTTCTTGTCTTCACAGGGTGAATTATAATTTAGATTCTTTGGTTTTTGCGTACAATCAAACAGTTAAGCCAGATATCGAAAATACCTGAGAAAAAGCTTGCGAAAACATTTTTGCGCGAAAACAGAAAAAGTCTCCACGTCCTGATGGATACTTTTCATAAGGACAATTAATAAACTAACCTCAAAAAATAGAAAATAATCGTGAGAAAAGCAGCCAAAACAGCGTAAACTAGGGAGAAAATGGCTAAAAGGCTGGAAACAGCTGATCGCCGCGCTCGCAACACACCGCAGCCGCGTCACGTCCCTTGCCGCCCTAATCAAGTCAGGATGACGACTGTATGTGGTTTAGAGGGACATAGTCGCGCCACTGCGCAGAGAACTCGACATTCCCCCACCCCATCCTTTTGCGGCCACCCAAACCACTATTTACTCAGGGTTTAATTAGAGCATGGCCGCGTGCGAGCATAAAACGAGCAAGACGGCGCTACTAATTTATAAACGTTCTTAGCCTTTGAAAAATTCACCTCTACCGGTAGAAGAGGATAGTACGATGTCAAGAGAAGCATTGCCTGAACCATAACAGCAACAATGTATCCGCCAACAATAAGGATTTTCCTGGAAGATAGTGGTTAATGGAATTAATATAGAAATAAATAAATCGATGTAAATGAATAATGTAGCTTTTTGGGGCCGTTATTCAGGCATGAAACTTACCTATTTAATAGCGACTTATGGAGAATAATAATTGCTACGATCTGCACGAGTGGGAAAGCGACAGACAACGAAGGCAGCTGTGGTTGGATCGAGACCAAAGCTGTAAGCAGGGTAAATCAGTTGCTTGAGAGGAAAGAAAAGGCTATCTGAGGAGGCGTTTAAGTATCATTCCTTGAGTGACCACTTACTTTTCGAACACACCTTTTGAAAAGGCAAGAATCGCAGGCACGCCAATGCTCTGCAAAAATTTGATTAAGGAGGTGACAGAGGATAATGGGGAATCAGGAATGTTCTTTACAAGTACCGATAGGGAGAGGTACATGACGAAATTATACTAGCACTCATCAGAATAGTCTGGGAAAACTTTTTGCGCAGGTGCGACTTTTCCTGACACACCCCACACACACACACACACACACACACACACACACACACACACACACACACACACACACACACACACACACACACACACACACACACACACACACACACACACACACACACACACACACAAATTTCGCTCACTCCAGTAACGACACAGCGTCATCCTCTATCCCATCACTATACATGCGGTTAATATCGCGAGTACAGTCAACGTGCAAACATTTCCAATTGAAGCAAAACACTCACCTTCCTTCTAGCGACCATAACGATCCCGTTTTCGTTGGAGAACGCCAATATACGACGTACCCTAATTACAACACATCCCTTAACCCTTGACAGGCAACGGAACTGTGCTACATGCGCGATAACGCTCCAATTTCTCATATTCACGGGTGGAATAAGCCTACTCACTCTAAAATGAATCAGCATTAATCAAAAATCATCCAAAAACGAACCACGTTTAGCGTCATCAAAACGTAAATCAGTGTTGAAGGGAATTTTGAAGGGATTTCTTCGAACTCTGACGGTGAATCTGTCATCCTCTCGACATCAGACTCTGGCTGTAGAAACAGATAGGCGATAACCTTAGAAAAATTTCAATCGGCAAAGGATGAGAAAATATACACGTTTATAGCAGGGACCACGAAAATAGAGGGAATGCCTTGTCCCATGAACTCGCCTTGAGACTACTGCCACTGGTGAGCCCTACGAAACCTTCAGTCAACCTCAGCAGGATTATCTTTGATATTTATCAAAAATTTGCAGGGAATTCCACCTAACTAGGTCGTCCAGACAGATTTCTGGAGCCACAGTCTTTTGGCTTCATATTTTAGCTGTTTGAGGCGCCTCGGGGCGTATATTCGGGGCACGTCGTAACGTTGAGGAAAATCTCCGCTTAGTATAACCCACTTACCCTCCGCCCTTCAAATTTTTTCCTTCCGTACAACATATTTCTGTGCCCTTATCGAATTCCATAGAATTTGACGTCGAGCGGGACTAGACACCTCCCACTGACTTATCGGGGCAATCGATAGTCTTCGCTCCCTTCACTGATAGTGGAAGGAGCTAAGACGAGCGGCAAATCCACATGTAATAGACGAAAGTCACCAAATGGAAAAAAGAATGGCTCGAGTACTTCATGAGTCCGGTTCCCTTCGAGGCGACGCTATGCAACATCCGATTCCCAACATCCTCTTACGAAGTGCCCTGCACATCACTCTGCTTCACACTGCGCGTCGGTTATTGAACACTCTAGCCAATAACGTGAACTTCCACCCTTGAATCACCCCAATCTTTCACCCTTATCTGCACCATCCTGCATGGATAGCGACTTATGACAACTGTAGTTCATTTTTGCAAACATCCCACACACAATTGGCTCACAAAACAGCCCGTGTGCAATGAGTTTTGCCTGCGGATTTCTCGTTTGACACTATGTGAAGTCACCCTCACTGCAGCTCTTATCATCGCTACAGCTCCTCATTCGTGTTGTTGCCCACATCAGGTCCGACACGTCCAAAGCGCTGGGGAAACTTTCCGGAAAGAACCGATCCCCTCATTCCCGCCTTTGATACGACGTCCCTTTCCCTACCTAGAACTTCCCTAGATTTTCCCAATCTCCTAGCAACTTTTCCAGATTTTTTTTTTCTTCTCCAAAAGTTCGCTGTCGAACGGGGTGGGGATGGTGGGCGAAATAGAGAAGGAGGTCGCCAGCAACCAGCTTGTTTCAGCAGTCAGAAATAGTATTGCACAGAACTTAAGTGGCTCCACCAAGTGGGGGGGGGGACGAGTGCTACAGCATATCGCTGAAACGGAAAAAAATCCGCGAAAAGCCAGGAAGCGAACAACCGGGAAAACCTTCCCGCCGCCGCAAATTTCCCTTTGTTTGCACCCATATTAACATTTCGATCACCTGATGCTCCACTGACTGCTGACGCAAACATCACGGTTGCAGCATCAGAAAAGTTGATCAACGGAGCGCAGTTGATCATCAAAGTGGCGAAAGCGAACGATATTCCTAGAGCGAGAAAATGAGCCGGGCGAGCTGAATATGGTACCATATCGTAGAGGACGATTGTCGAACATACGAAACCAAGACCAGCTCCACAGCCGATCAGAAACCGGCCAACGCACAGCAGCGTCCAGCTGAATCAGACAAGAATGTAAAGGGAGCTCACGCAGTATTCATGTAAGCTCAGAGAGGTTGCAATCGCATGAAAAAGCGCGGAGTTGCACTGTATACTCCTCACCCCGACGCAGCGATTGGCCATGTGAGGGAGCGTGAAATAGGCGCAAGTACGGTAACCTTTTCAACCCGCAGATGGCGAATGCACATGGATAAATGTTGCCGTGGCCTACCCCCCCCCCAAACTCGCTGCCTCCTCACACTCATAATCTTCTCAGACCCTTAATCGCGCGCACGAATAAAGACCGTCTACAGTTGTAGTCAAAAAGATTCTTTGAGACGGTTCAACATGTAAAATTTCTTTCTCCCAACCGTTCGTACAAATTTTGATATCTTTATATCCAAATGTTGTCAGCAAACGGCAGGCGTACTTCACTTAAGACAGCGCCCACGTTCACTTGATGTTCCTACGCCCTTTCTGGATATCATAGCCCTCCCCAATAAGGATGCAGTATGTACTAGTTTTGCATCTCACAAAGGCGAGAGGATAGCGCCTATCGCTAGTAAAGAGTCGACCGCCCCGCCCACCTGGCGACCACGACGCCCAACTTCATTTCTAATGGTTGCCTGATGGTGCGTTGTTCCATTGCTGCTTCTCTCCACGTCGTTGTTGGTTGCAGGGTGAGTGATAAGGGGAAACAGTTGGAAACAGTTTGAAATCAACAAGTGAGAACTCTCGTGCAACCACTCTTTCTCTTCGCCTTAAAGGCACATTCCGCGATAAAATAAGGCTATGACCTCTCAAATGTGTCGGACGATCCGGAAGGCGATTTTTGAGGCTGCGCTACTTTCAAAATGTGAAAAACGGCAAGAACTCCGCTAGAAGCTGACTAATGGGCCATAGGACACCCTTAGGCCCATGCACTCACCGGCTGCTACGCCTACTAGCTAGCTAGCACTACGTTATCTTTCTCTATAACATTTCGGACTGCTTTTTCTGCTGCTTTTCTCCGCTAATCAGATACTTAGCACTTTTTTGTGCCTATTTGAGTTCCGTTTCCCGCAATTTGCGGTCGCGAACTGTGCCTTTAAGCACGTAACCGCTATCCGGTATGAAACTCCTTACAGGGCATTTTGCCATGCTTTTCTTGGCCGCCAGTTTGTCGACGCGCGCGCATTTCGTCTTCCCCATAAGATGTGATCGACCCATCAGGGCACCCATTTCTCGCAGTTGACACGTATGTAGTGGATAGTCGGCTAGACGATGTGAGTTTCAGACCTTCACAAAGAGTCACAGCGTTTTACCAGACAGTTGAGATTTTGTTAAACTGGCCAACTTAGGGAAGCATATGATAATACAAAATGCACCCCCCCCCCCCGCCTCGACATACAGCGCTGTTTTCTTTTGATTTTTCTTCACTGAAAGCGTTTCTCTGCTACCTTGCCCTATTACACCTTGGGCCGTTATACACTCATCAAACTTGAACGGCCGGGCCCGCCTGCCTCTAAAAGATTGGCCTCTGGGATCGAATAATTCGCGCGAATATCTCAATTCTGGCAAACTGCCACCTCGGTCTCATGTGCGCACGCTTCTCCACCGCGACGCGATCAGACTTTACTATATACGCTTGGTTTCCACTCTTGTCCGGTGTGCTGGGGACTACCACAGAGGTTCAGAACATTGGTCATCTTGCAGAAGGGAAAGAGCATGCCGATTTCGTGGTGAATTCTTAATATGGTTGCCTCACGCAATTGCACGCTCATCGGCCACACCCACCACATATCAATCTGCGTGAAGCAAAGTACACTTTGAAATATTATCGCGCGCGGCTAATAAGCAACTTTCGAAGCGAATATCTGCAGGCATGCGTTCTCAAACAATACCACGGAGGAGATTACATCACAAAAGCATATATTGTATATTATTAGATTATATTACAGAAAGGAAGTTACCTGGGGACGGCGGCTACGACTGAACCGATTATGAGAAGCCACGCATCCGTAAGAAGTCCTTTTTTGGCTGGAATTGGAAAACATGCGAGGAAGAGCGTCGAGATAAATTGACCTGAGTGTAAAAATCATAAATCGCTAAATTCATTGCTGGAGTTTTGAATCCACCACTCATTTTATAGAGCTGACACTGTACTGTACAATGAAGAACAATGGAGTGTTTTGGCAAAATCTGCGAAAGAGCTAAAAACACAGGCAAATAATTTTGCTCGCCTTGGAAAAAGTTCCGATAGACGTGAATAACTCTCGCAAACCATTTGTATAGGAAGTTCCATTTTCGAACAGAATTCAACACTTTTCAAACCAGCTCAACACCTTTGAGTAAACGTCAACACAGTTCAAATCAGATTCAACCCCTTTCTATTGGCTTGGCCCATAAAAAATGGCGTTTTCTCTTACAAAAATTTTTATATGAGAAGAAGAAGTGCTTTCAGTGTGTTATATGCTGTTCGATAGATAATTTTCCGCTCTATAAGATGGACTGTGTGCCTTCCTACTATTTCTTGATTTGTCGGTTTTTATTTCATTGAAATGGAATGTCGGGTCGACACAAAAGTGAGTTTTTGACAACAACTTTTTGCACTTTATCTCGGCTCTCAAATTACAGAAGACTCAAATTTTGTGGTTTATGTGAACGAGAAAAGATGTCCCCTATGGCAACGTGAAAATGGTTCGGGCGACCATGGTATGGGAATTCGGACCTTGTTAATGCGCATGGGAGTCCCTTTTGAGGAGGGACGCCTGAAGAACCTGCCCGCTAACTTTTGAACGTCTTAACATCAACTGAAGATTTTTGAATAGGGCATTTAGTTTGGTGCTTGTCTGGTAAGTTGAAATTGGATGCTTGAATCGCTTAAACCGTTGTAAGCATTTCTAAGAGAAATGACCTCTTGGCCATGTACTTAGCAACTGGCCTGTGCGGTTTTAGCTTCTAATTAGAAGGTAAAAAAGAGAGGCTGTCGAAAATGCTCAATTTCGTCGACCTGACACTCCAGTTTGAGCACTTAAATATTAGTGGAAAGAGAAACTTCAAGAAAA